ATGGATTGTGATGAGTTGTACAAGCCCCCAATGAAATGATTTTTAAAAAACGCCATCAATACTGGCTCTGCTGTCAAAGGAAAAATGTGATGGAAGTATAATGTGTGACAGCTAAGGGACTTTGGAATTAATGCATATTCAAATACTTCCGTCTCTCCTATTTTCCATATTACTCTTTAGAGGATGAAGATAAGTGACTGTGATCTTAGACATATTATCTATAGTAATTTCCTTTCAGTTAATCACATCACCTAAATATGTTATACATATCATTTGGCTATGTATACCTCATGGTGATTAATGATAATATTCCAATATAGTCCACCATGGCCATCAGGCATGAATTTATTTACAACTATTACAGCTCCACAGAGTCTCTGGGTTTCTAAATACTTACTGGAGGGAAAACGCTTCTGTGCTTACATAATGAGTCAATAATTACATTATTGTAATAAAATTTTCTTTTTAAAATCAAAGAGACATTTTAATTAAAAGTTCACCTAAAAAGTAAGCAAAGCTGGATGAAGCCTGCATTGCTTTATTTTTCTTAAAAATGGCATGATGTATTTTGAAAGCTCAAATGTCTTCAGGAATTAGGGGGAAATCCTACCATAGAGTTTCAAGTGGTTCTCAGATATGGAAAGATCTTAAGTCTGCTTATAGTTTATTGTGACTATTTGAAATACGTTGTATAATAGCCACTTTAATTTTTGACCACTTTTATTTATCACTCCACGTTTTAATAGCTGCTGAGTTTTTAGCAGAAAGGTAAATCAATAGAGCTTGGATGCACCCTAGGATAATACATCTCCCTAAATATGTAATATTGTCTGGTATGCAAGTCTCTAGTGGTAAGTAGACTTTAGCCTGAATAAGAACAATAAGAGGATGATAACTCCTGTGAATATAATTACATATCCTGGGCAGCATCGGGAGACATGCCACATGAAACCACTTCTCAAGAGTGACTACCTATGGAGCTCTGAGCGGTGCAGTAGTTCATCCGTGTGGCTGGTCAGCGATTGGAACACACCAATCATACCTTGGGGGAAAGATGTGTAGTGGTCTGCTCCTGTAACGATTTATAGCCTTGAAAATCCCACGGGGCAGGTCTACTCTACCAGAATCTAGACTGTGATTCATGACAGACTCAAAAGCCATGAATTTGTTGTTCTAGTGATTGCAGTGCGTTTGGTCAGATAAAATTGAATCTACCTTAGATCAGGAAAGTCATGAGTTTCCTGAACTCTACAAATTGATTTTTTCATGTATCCTAGACCTATATACTTATTAATGAGTTAGAAAAATAGTCAAGATTTCTAAGGCATATTTCCCATTTATCTGTATGCCAAAATGACATTTATCCCCAATTTTATCTTTTTGCCTAATGTTAAAAAGTGAATGCAGAAGAAGTATCCTAAATATACACATACACACCAAAATAAGTTGATGTAATTTGGAAAAATATGAAATTTATATGTGACACTCTGAAGATTGTTGTGATTTTATTCACCTCCGTCGCAATTCATCCCAGGACACCCTCTGCATCCATTGATGAATTTGGGAGAATTCAGTCAGTGTTGAATTCTGTATCCATGGATGAGTGTGGGAGAATTCAGTCAGTATTTGAATAAAAATTCAAATCAGGTTTTTTAGTGGATAGGAAGATTTAACAAATTTCAATAAATAAGGTAAATATGTAGGTTGAATGAAAAGCTATTCAAGTAAAATGGATGTGTTGTGGAAATTAACAGCACTGGTAAAATGACCAGGCAACCTTGAACTACCAGTGTGACTTTGGATAAAATATTTAGGCATCTTTTACACACAGAACTCAGTTTTTCTTGTCACAAGAAGCCACAAGGAATGACCAGTCCAATCATAATTGCTAAGGTTATGAACTGTAACATATAGTCGGAGGAAAGAGAGAAACGTCTATTCAAAGTGTGGTTATCCTGTGGGATGTGGTTCCACGAGTGGGGAAAACCTCATCACCTGAGCATGATGCCACGGCCGTTTCCTGTGGTCCTCCTCTTTGCCGGTGACACGTGACTGAAGACACACTCTCTAACCTTCTCTTTTGCATGTGTGTGACCTGCGAGCAGAGTAAGAAACAGGATGTTCCTCGGGAAGATCAGGGACCTAGCACCAAGAATTTGGACTTCTGGCCTCAGCTTATCACCCTGATGGTCACCATTATCGACGAGGATAAAACTGCCTACACACCGGTCCTGAACCAGTAAGTCTGCTGTTTTGGAAAATAAATGTGTTTTCGTCCATTAAGAGTAAGAAAAAGAAAGTTTATGCTTTCCAATCAAAGTTTATGCTTTCATTGCACCCTTTTAGAAATGGCCACCATTTCTACAATGAAGCTAGTGGGGAAGGAAAAAAAGAAGAGCATTTTCTTCTCTTATCAATCCATCTCACTCCAGTATTACAATGAGTTTTCATTTGCAGCCCCGCTGAGTATGAGTCTAGTTGACCTTGAACAGCATGTGGGTTGGGAGGTGTGCTGACCTCCACAGAGTCGGAAATCTGTAACTTTTAACCCCACCAAAATGTAGCTATGAATAGCTTCTTGTGGACCCGAGGTCTTACCAATAAGTCAGTTAATATTTATTTTCTCTTATGTTACGATTATATACTTCACCCTCATAAAACTTGCATTTTATTTCTTTTTTTTATCATTTTATTAGGGGCTCATACAACTCTTACCACAATCCATCCATCCAGCCATTGTGTCAAGCACATTTGTTCATATGTTGCCATCGTCTTTCTCAAAACATTTGCTTTCGACGTGAGGTCTTGGTATCAGCTCCTCATTTTTAATACAATATAAAACTCACTACAATCGAGTCCATGCCTATTCACAGGGACCCTGTAGGACAAGGCAGAACTGGCCCTGGGACTTTCAGAAACTAAACTAGGAGTAGGGAGCCTTGTCTCACTCCCAGTAGAATATGCTCTGTTTACCGAAAGTGCAAGGTGGTTGTGCGTGTCGCTGCAGCTGCAGCTATGGCTTCCCAGATTGCCTTCACGTTAACAGCGATCCTAACGCTGCATTCACTTACCCTGTAATAGGTGCAACGACAGACCTATTAGGTAGTTCACTCTTTCTTTTGATGTCCTGACTTTTCTATTTATTGAGAAAACTGCCAACATCACTAATGGAACCTCACATGGGTCCTTTGGTGTCATTATAAGGTTTATGATATTACACAAAACCCTATGAAAAATACCCAGGATCACTTTTTCCTGGGTTATGCAATTCACAGGAGCAACTGAACAGCTGATGAGATGATGGCCATAACATGGCATTTAAAAAGATCCACACGTATGTGGACTTGCACTGTTCAAACCCAGGTTGTTGAAGGGTCAGCCCCAAGATTTAATTGTTATTTGATGCAAGCTATTTATATCTCTTCATGTTCCTTTTGTAAGTACTTTGTTTCTCAAAGATGAAGAAATTGCACTTCCCTGAAAACAGCGGAATGTTCAGCATATTTCATTGTAGATGTTTAATAGGAAATATTTGTCAACACGCCTGCTTCCAAAATAGTTGTACATGCGAAAGATAACAACTCGAGTGAAATATGTTCTAGAACAAGTCTATTTTCCATTAACAAACTAATGCTTATGCCTCCATGCATCACGTTTATAAATTATAAGCAGGTAGAAAAGGCAGATGGATTAAAATTCATGACCGTTCCAAGAGTTTATAAAAATCATCCTCATCAAAATGCCACTAGCTGTAAACCTTGGGAAGATTATCTAATTCCCCTGCATCTCAGGTTAAACAAGGATATTTTATGAGGCAGTTCCCAAGATCCAGACCGACTTGAAATTGAGAAGACTTCGAGTTTATTTCACACCCACATGTTGAGGGATTGTATTAGACCATCGCAGCTGACTGTGCCAACCCTGACTCTGACGGAGAGGAGGTGCCCCGCATTTTGTAGGACATGAGATGGTGGCAGTGCCAAAAGCAAGATCATAGAAGTTGGCAAACCATGGATCATGTGAAGTAGATTCAGATTTCTGTCAGGATTATTTTCTTTTTTCCCATCTCCTTACCTGTGAAAACAATTAGGAACAAAGGTTTTTTTGAATTGGAATTGCAGTTGCAGAAGTAATCAATGTAATCTAGTTCTTACTCTTTTTTGCCTCTTTAATCACCCATTTTCTTTCCTTTATTTTTGAAATCATTTTGGGGACTTGTACAACTCTTATCACCATCCATCCATCCATTGTGTCAAGCACATTTGTACATATGCTGCCATCATCATTCTCAAAACATTTGCTCTCCACTTGAGCCCTTGGTATCAGCTCCTCAGTTTTCCCCTCCCTTCCCACCTCCCCCTCCCTCATGAACCCTTGATAATTTATAAGTTATTATTATTTTGTCATATCTTCCACTGTCCAACATCTCCCTTCACCCACTTCTCCGCTGTCCGTCCCCCAAGGAGGAGGTTATATGTACATCTTATAATCTGTTTCCCCTTTCTCCCTCACCTTCCCTCCACCCTCCCAGTATCACCACTCTCACTACTGGCCCTGAAGGGTTCATCTGTCCTAGATTCCCTGTGTTTCCAGTTCCTATCTGTACCAGTGTACATCCTCCAGTCCAGCCGGATTTGTAAGGTAGAATTGGGATCATGATAGCGGGAGGGAGGAAGCATTCAAGAACTAGAAGAAAGTTGTATGTTTCATCATTGCTGCCCTGCACCCTGACTGGCTCATCTCCTTCACACAGCCCTTCTGTAAGGGGATGTCCAATTTCCCACAGATAGGCCCTGGGTCCCCACTCCTCACTGCCCCTCATTCACAATGCTATGATTTTTTTTTTTTTTTGGTCTTTGATGTCTGATCCCTGATCCCTTCATCGCCTGTGATCTCACAGGCTGGTAATCACCCATTTTCATCTGCTTCGAGTTCCTCCAAATTTTGGAGAAAGCATTTTTTTTATTGATATGCCATGCAATTCTCATGCTTGACAACCAGGGTCTCCTGATGACCATTTGTAGACACTGCTCTTCTTTCTAATCTGATATCCCAGGAATTAGAGGAGCTCCTTTCTGAATGCATGCCCTGCCCTCATCTCATCATGAGTCATACTTAGTTCTCGGGTCTCTGGAAACTCTGGGAAATAAGTCTGTTTTCTTATTTATTTTCTGATCCTGTCTTGGAAAATGCAGGAGCTCTTTTAAAGTCGAGAGATCAACTTGTTTCAAGACTGCCCTTGGGCTATGAAAGGGGAGTTAATAAATAACTTTTAAATGAAAATGAACATAATCTGAAGAATGCAAATGAAAAGTTTCAAAGCTTAGACTTTCCATACGTTTTCCTTTGGGGAATGCACCACCTCTTTTACCAAATACTATAGACTCAGGGTGTGAAAAGTAAGACTATGAGATCATGGATCAGTTCCTCACAATTGCCTTTAATCATATCCCATGACAAATACCAAAAACTTTAGGCAAATTTCTGTGACTTCTTGCAGTATGTGGAGTAAATTTAGTTTGGGCAAAACCTAACTTAAAATTATAAACTGAATTAAGCCTTCCAGGTATAAAAATGAACAATGACATGCAGGAAATAGAGAGATGTCTTGCTTTTGTTTCATTTTATTTTTGTGTCTATGTCGGATCACCTTTTATCATTCCAGGAAAATTTAGCCCTAGCAAACCTGAATGTCTTCCCTCGGTGTGGAATTTGGATTGTATGTTACTGTGTTTTGTGATTGTATTTGCCATTTCAAGATTGTCCTAAAGTCTTATTTGCAACCATGAGGAACATTTTGTCCCAAAGGAAGTAGGTAGCCCTTAGTTGAACCAGTGTTTCAAGTGAGCTCCTCAAAAGAGCATAGGTGCTTTGGGTGGCCAGTGTTACACCCTTGTGATATCGTGAAATTTTTATTCACATCAGTTTCTTCGTTTGGACAACATATCAAATGTAGGCTTCCCTAATCATTCATTGGCACGCGAGCTAGTGCCATCCTGCACAAAGTAAGAGAACTAAGCCTAAATCTCGAATCCTTTCAACTGCTAGATAGAAATTCAATTTGGAGCCCCATGTCAAATCTTTGGGAAATCTGGGTCCAGAAGTCCACATTATCAATAAAGCATCCCCCATAAGTGCTGGTGGAGCTTAGTAGTTTGGTAGTTGTGGGCACAGCTGCTAACTGGAGGGTTGGTGGCCTGAGTGAGTTGGAATGGATGCTCTGGCAATGGGTCACATCTCTCATGTCTTCTAAAGGGTACGCACTGCCAAATTAGGGTGAAGGAGACATGGGGTTAAGTGTTGGTGGAAGTTCTTAGAAGTGCTTTG